GAACTCTCAGAGATCACAGAGATTCTCTGCCTCCTAAGTGCTAGGATTCAAGGCATGCACCACCATGCCTGGCTTCAGACTTCATATTTTTATATGACCAAATAGTATGCTTTTGCATGTATACTAGCAGTTTGACCACTCCTTCATCTGTTCATGGACACAGGTTGCCCCTACTCTTCAGTTTTGTTTTGTTTTGTTTTGTTTTTGAGTCAGGGCCTCATGTAGTCCAGGCTAGCCTCAAACTTGCCATGTAGCCAAGAGTGACCTTGAAATTCTGATCCTCTTGCCTTCACCTCCAGAATACTTGGATTAGAGGTACCATGGCCATTTAAAAAATATTTTATTTATTTTTATTTTATGTGTGTGAGCGCATCTTTTGCTTGCATGTATGTGAGTGCACCATGTGCATGCAATGCCTATGGAGGCCAGAAGAGGGCATCAGATCCCCTGGAAGTAGAGTTAAGGATGGTTGTTAGCTGCCATGTGGGTGCTGAGAATTGAACTTGGGTCCTCTGCAAGAGAAGTCAGTGTTTTTAACCACTGAGCCTTCTCTCCAGCCCCATGGTCATTTTTAGGCAGTGCTCGTAATTGAACCCAGGGTTTTGTGCATGCTAAACAAGAACTCTACGAACTGAACTACATCCCCAGGTCACACTTTTTGGCTATTTTGAGTACTGTTGCCCTTAAATGTTGATGTACAAGTATATGCCCTATTCTTGCTTTCAGTTACTTTGGGGACTTAGACAGGAGTATGGCTTGGGGCCTGTCCTGTTTTCATTGCTGTTGCTGTGAGAAAATATCCTGACAAAAAGCAACTTAGGGAAGAAAGTTTATTTAATTCACAATTCCAGGTTATAGTCTGTCATGTGAAGTCACAGCAGCAGGAGTGTGAGACAGCTGGTCATGCCCCACCACAGTCAAGAGCAGAGGGAATGAATGGATGCTTGCATGCTTACTTCCCTGCTTGTCAGCTCTGTTTCTATATGCCGATACAGTTCAGGACCACCTGCCTGGGGAATGGTGCTGCCTATGGTAGGGAGGTCTTCCCATATCAGTTAACAAAACACTCTCTAACAGACATGCCCACAGACCAACTCAGTGGAAACAACTCCTCCTTATAACTCTCTTCCCAAGTGGTTCTAGGTTGTGTGAAACTGAAAGTTAAAGCTGACCAACACAGGCATTTGAATCCATCAATAAGAAGGTGCCAAATGGCCCACTTCCCTAACTCCAGCTATGCATCAATGACACTGACAAATGTTTGCACTGAATGCCATATACACATTATATATGCAAGACCTCCATAGCCCAGGCTGGCCTTCAACTCAATTTGTAGCCAAGAAAAACCTTGAATTCCTGATCTCCTCTCTCTACTTGTTGAGTGCAGGAATTACAGGCATGCACTACCATGCCTGATTTTATTCAGTGGTGGGGACTGAACCCAGGACTTCATGCATGCTATGCCAGCACTCTACCAACTGAGCTACATCCTTAGTCCTGCACTGGATGTCTTTAGGATATTGTCTCCCTCTTGAACTATTCAGCTGTGGCTAGGAATCATGTGTTCCCATGTAGGGTACAGCAGAGGCGGGGAAGACTTGAATGAATATGAAAGAATATGAATGGGGTGAACTGCAAACAACACTCAAGTCTAAGGACAAAAGCAGCCATGAGAGAGCAGGGAGATGGCTCAGGGGGTGAAGCACTTGCCATGCAACCATGAAGACCAGAGTTTGAATGCTTAGACCCTGCATGAAACACCAAGTGGGCTTGGTGACATCCCTGTAATCCAAGTATACAGGAGGTGGAGACGGGGAATCCTAAAAGCAAGTTTGCTAGCCAAACTGGCTGAAATGGTGAGCTGTGAATTCAAGTCAAAGACCCTCTCTCAATATATAATGTGGAGGCCAGGCATGGTGGCACACACCTTTAATCCCCACACTTGGAAGGCAGAGGCAGGCAGGTCTCTGTGAGTACAAGGCCAGCCTGGTCTACATAGGGCCAGCCAAAGCTACATAATGAGTGGAGAGCAATCAAGGAAAGTAACTGATATTAACCTCATACCTCCACAGGCACACACACAGGTGCACATGCACCTGTACACATATGTGTGCCTGTGAACACACATTCACATATGCAGGCATAATACACACAGGCATATGCAAAAAATAGTGACCATGAGTAAGTTAATATGAAACTATCATTGTATCAGACACATACATGTTGCTCAGTTAGTAAATGCTGGATGAATAATAAATTGGAGTTTTAGTAAGCACTCTGTTGGTTTGATGTACTGCAGGCCTTGTGTGATGAAAGCTTGGCCCCTGGCTGGTTCAGTTATTAGACGGTGGGGGAAACTTTTGGAGGTGGAGCCTAGTGGGAGGGAATAGCTTTCTGGGAATGTGCTTTAAAAATGTACATCTATTCAGCAGCAATAATACATTTTAGGATTATAACATACAGTGAAAAAAAGAAATTTCTCAGTGTTTTCAAATTCCTGACATGTTACTCTTTGAGGTTCAGAGACAGTAAATCAGTATTCCTAGGAATTCTCAGAAAGTTCAAAATTATGATTATTTTAAACATACTTCTAACAACCTTTACACTATTATTTGAATAGCTAAAATTCTTTTTAAAAAAGTTTTATGTGTATGAGTGTATTGCCTCCATGTAAGTAAGTGCACTTGTGTTGTGCAATGCCTGTAGAAGTCAAAGAGGACATTGGATCCTCTGGAACTGGAGTTACAGATGGTTGTTAAGGGCCATGTGTTTGCTGGGAATTGAACCTGGATCCTCTGAAAAAGCAGAAAGTGCTCTTAACTGCTGAGACATCTCTCCAGGCTGAATAGCTAAAATTCTTGTTTAAAGAATACAATACATTAAGCACATCTATTAGTACTTACAAAGAACAGAGAACGACAGAAATATTCCAACAATGGAAAGCATAGTTTAAGATTCTGATTCTGAGGAGTGCGTTTTGAAGGGGCTTCCTTGCCCTCTGCTTCCCCTCTGCCTCCTGGCCACCTTGAAAGGAGCAGCTCTCCTCTGTCATGTGCTTCTGGTATGATGTGTCACCTCATCAGAGGCTGAGGGAGCATAGATAAAACTTCTGAAACCATGAGCCAAAAGCTAAATCTTTCCAGCCTTTACATTGTCTCAGGTGTTTTAGTACCATGCTACAAGCTCAGTAGCATATGCGATAACTGACTTTCTTAAACTTTTACTTATTTAAATTATCCAGTGTTTCAATAATTCACATTTCTTCTACTGTACCCACAAAAAGATGATTTCATTTGAGAATCTCAAAGAAAGCTTTATGCTTGAGGGTGCAGCCTCTGGAGACAGACTGGGCTTTAATTTTATGTCCACTCTCACCTGGCTTGAGTATCCGTGTATAAATTTTTTGCTGTGCTTAGACTTGTGTTCTCATCTGTATCATGGGGCTGGAGCTGTAATTTGTTTTGTAGGAATGTTTGTGAAGATCAGTGGGAGTAGTGGAGGTGAGGAGCACATCCGGGTGTTTGGACACTCAGCTCTTGATTTTCAAGGGTTTTGTTGTTGTTTATTTATCTTTTTAGTTTTTCTTATTGTTGCTTTCATTTTTAATTTTAAGATTTTTTTTTGCATTTATGTGTATGTCTGTGTGTGACTATGCACTTGTGCATGCAGATGCCTGGGGAGGCCAGAAGAGGGCAGCACCCACATCTAACAGCTCACAACCACCTCTAACTTCAGCTCCAGGGAATCCAACACCCTGTTCTGGACTCCCTGGGCACCTACACATGAGGCACACACAGACACACAGATACACAAATAAAAATTTCTAAATTGAAAACTAAGGAAAGAAAGTTTCTGTCTTCTCTCACTTTTCTGTGAGCTTCCATCCAATTACCACTCTCATAATTAGGAAGTGTGGATAAGGTCATCTTGGTAGTTTTCTGTTGAATAATTTCTCTGGAAGTTTCCTCTCTGGGGTGCTGGGCCCAGCCCCACCTCCAGTCAGGTTCAATGACCTTGGATGGAGTCATGTAATTATGGGCAAATTGAATTGAGAATCATTCATTCAGCAAGTATTTATTGTTGTTGTTTGGCAGGTTTTTTTTCATGTTTGTTATTTTGGTTTTGAGATATGATCTTAAAATTCTGTGCTTTATTTATTTTTATTTTATGCCTATGAGTGTTTTGCCTGTATGTAACTGCATCTATGCATGCAATGCCCATGGGCCAGGAGAAGGCATCCAATCCCCTAGAAATGGAGTTGTGGATGGTGTATGTGGGTGCTGGGTACCAAACCCAGGTCTCCTTGATACATGATCTTGATCTGTCCCAATCTGTCCTTGAACTTAGAATATAACCCAAGCTGGCCTTGAAACTCTCCTGTTTCTCTTGGTCTGTATCATCATCATACATAGACACAACAAGTGTTTACTGAGCACCTCTGTGTACCAGGCACACTGTTATAAACACCTGAGATATGTCCCTGAAAATTCGTGCAACTGAAGTTATAAAGAGGGGCAGAAAGGGGACAAGGTTGGGGAGCCACTGAACTCAATAGGAAGGGCCTTGAAGGCAGGAACTTTGGTGTTCATCTTTGAGTCCCTAGAGTCACCCCACCGTGCTTGTTGAATAACTGAACATTCATCTTTCCCTAGGTTCATTTCCATCTGATCTCTTCTGTCACAAGTGCCTGTTACTGTGCTTGGCACCCAGTAGGTGCTCGGTACACAGCAGATCAATGCATGAGTACATTTTCAAAAATCCTATTCTTTATTTGTTCCAGGAACCCAAGTCTTCAGAATATCACACTGATAACATTCATGAATTCCTACAAATAAACACGTAGGTTGGCTTCATCTAGCAAAGGGTAGCTGGACAGGCATTTCGCAGGCCAGGGTTCCCTGTAGACACCCTAATAGGCAGCAGCCGCCACGAAGAGGCCGTGGGTTCCTGTGAGCAAGCAGGGCTCGCCCCGCCTCTGCGCGCAGCCGGCTTGGCCCTCCCCTCCTCCTCCGCCCACTCTCGCCGCGGTCTCAGGCGGCAGCGGCTTTGTCTCCCTGCTGGTCCCGGTGGCTCCCTCCCCCTAAGAGCTGCTGCTCGCGGAGGAAGCGGTGCGGGAGCTGTCCAGGATCCCGGTGCTGAAAGCCGAGCGCCCATCACCCAGCATCACCATGTAAGGGCCATGCCCAGGGCTCGTCCTGGTGCAGCGCGGACATGGAGGAAGACTTGTTCCAGCTCAGGCAGCTGCCGTGAGTACCGTGGGGGCGAAGGAGAGGCAGGCAGGGTTTCTTTTTAAAAACCGAAAACCTGCAGGGGTGCATCCCTCCTTCGATGGCTTCTTGAATTTAAAGGCAACTATTTCAGGGGAAGGAATTGGGCCTGGAGGAGGCAAGCCATTTTCCTAGCCCAGCAGCCCAGCTTCTGTTTCTCTGATTCAGTTTTTCAGATCTGTCAGAACCTTGCGGGATCCTTGGTGTCGTTTTCTCCCTTTTAAATTTTTCTCCATCCTAAAGAGATTTCGAGGTCTGTGCTGTGAGAACGTGTTGGCTGCTGCTTGGAAATGTGGGCTGAATTGATGGGTGCACAGGATGACATCTGTCCTTTCCAGCCTTTCTCCCATTCTGTGAAATTCCTCATTTTTCTGCAAGGTCTTTTGGAAAGGAATGCTATGCTGTTGCGAACTGCTTTCTAAAAAGCAAGGGTTCCTTCTTAAAGGAGAGGCTGGGCAAAGTCCCTTGTTTATGAAGTGTGTGAATGAGAGGACTGTGCTGTGTGCTGCGGCTGAAACCTCCTGCCTTCTGAATGAAGGGTTTGGGGAACAGCTAGCTGGAGTAAGACTCGAGGTTGGAGGCACCAGGATTACGTCCCCTGAGGACAGGAATTGTTCAGGGATACCAAATTTGCTCCAAGCCTCTGGGAGCAATATTGACAGACGATGGAAAAGACGGGGGCCTTTAGAGAGACAGTTTTTTCCTACCACAAGCAAACGGTGACTTATTAAGCAAATTCCCAGAGTATGAGAGGGGATATTAAAGAGAATATTTTTGGGGTTTCTGTTTTAGTTTTTACATTCACTAGTCACCTGGCTGGATTCCATTTGAATCTGTAATTGTTAGCATGTGTGCATATTCTTGACTTTGAAAATGGTGGCTTTTTTCTTTTCCCTCGAAGCTGCTGAGGAATTCTCCTCCCAAGTGACTTTTAGTGTGACTGATCCGGCTCTCTGAGGTGCTGAGTGCTGAAGGGGGTTGTAATGTTTACTTCTCAACTGGTGTAAAATTCATTTTCATTATACAGTTTTTATTAGTTGAAATTTTATTTTCAGCTTTTATTAATTGATCCATAAATGGCCCAATTTATGATAGCTTTATTTTGCAATGGGAAAGGATAGCTGCTTCTAATACCCTGAAGTCTGCATATGATACACAAAAATATAAGTGTCGATGTGTGACTCCTTCAAGGAAATCATGCCACTGTTGTTGAACACAAACAACATATTCAAAAGCCCAACTGTTACCCCCAAAGAAAAATAATTTTTAAAATAGAAACATAAAATTTGGTACTCAGAATAAGAACTTGTATTGGAACTTCAGTATTACTGCAATGGATTTTCAGACAATGTCAAAACAAGTGAGCTTTGCAAAAGGCTTATGTACATTTGGTTTACTAATAGAGAGAGATGACACTGCCATAGCAATTCTTCCCTTAATTAAAAAAAAAAGAGTAAAAATAAGGAGTTGGTGGTGTGGCTCAGTGGAGCACATGCCTCCCACACATGAGGCCCTTTGTTGCATCCCTAGCACTACTAAATACTATACCAATAAACAGTGAAAATAGGAGGCTTATAAACTTACTTAAATTTAATTAATTTAAGCTGGGTATAGAGACACAACCCTGTAATCCTAGCATTTGGGAGGCTGAGACAGGAGGATCTCAAAGTCTAGGCCAGCCTGAGCTACAGAGTGAGACCATGTCTCAAAAACAACAATAATAATAATTTAATTTTTAATTTGAATATATCACAACTATACAATATTAATATAGTAAATATGGCAGTTTGAAGATAAATATGGGGATGAAAAGTGTCCCTCTTCACAAACCCCAGTCCTGTTCCCCAGAGTGTTTTTTTTTTACTTATTATTCCTGATGTCTTATCAATAGAAGCACATGTAATATTGATTAGAGAGGTTAAATGGTTTACTGTAGCCAAGCATAGTGGTGCATGCCTTTAATCTCAGCACACTTGGGAGGCAGAGGCAGACACATAGATCTCTTTGAGATTGAGGCCAGCCTGGTCTACATAGTGAGTTCCAGGCCAACTGGGGTTACAGGGAGACCCTGTTCTAAAAAAACCAAAAAAAAAAAAAAAGGATTTACTGTTAGAGAATATTGATGATGAGTCAGGCAGACTTGGGTTCAAATCTTGACCCTGTCATGTCCCAGCTGAGCAATGATAAGCAGATCATATTCTCTGGCTGTAACATTAGTATCTTGGAGATAATGGTACAGCTCATGGTATAGCCTGTGGTAAGCATGCATGAGGTTCTAGGTTCAATTCCTGAAGAAACGAATGTTACAGCATTAATTGATTTATATGACTATTATGAATATTAAATGAGATGTGTACTAAACATTTGACAACACAAAGTCAACAAATATTAGCTATTTACTATTGTTATTACACCAGAAACTGATGAAAGGTAATTATATAGGTTCACTATCACCACACTCCCAAAGATTGTTATTTGAAAGTCCCAGGGGCTGATGGCTTAGCAGTTAAGAGTGCTTGCTGCTCCTTCAGATGACTGGAGTTTGAGTCCAGCACCACCCACCAAAAAAGAAATGCAAACAGAACTGATTCAAACTCAACTCAAGCCTCCAAAAGGGTGGCTACATAGGTAAGTTGGTGTGAAGACAGTTTTTGTTTTAACTCCTTTTTGCCTCCTATTCATTTTAAAAGACAACTATGGGGCTGGAGTGTTAGCTGTGTTGGCTGCTCTTCCAGAAGACCTAAGTTAGGATCTCAGCACCCACATCGGGCAGCTCACAACTGTCTGTAACTCCAGTTCCAGGGGATCTGTCACCCTCTCCTGGCCTCCACAGGTACCTGTACACACAGGGACACACACACGCACACACACACACACACACACACACACACACGCATGCATGCACGCATGCACGCACACACACACACACACACACACACACACAAAATAAAATAAAACCTTAAAAAGAAAGCTCCAAACTATGTTTGAATGAAGTCAAAATTAGCCCTGAAATGTGCTGACCTCCATTTATAAAAAAGAATAAGCTAAAAGAAAAAGCTGTGTGAATATGAGTGGGTTACAAATCACGACTCAGATGTTTTTTAAACCAGGCTCTGCATATAGTATGCACAGATTGCAGGCAGCAGATTTCCTGAGAGCAATATGGTTTAAAAAAATTCAGAGCACCTTGCAGAGGGCTGGCAAGAGTGGACTTTGGAACAGACTCGGTCCTGCAGGAGGCTGAGTGTTAACAGATCATAAGCCACTAAGCAGATTGCAGGGGTTGGTGAGGGGACAGGGACAAGGGTGCCTAAGAATGCCATTCTCTCTGCACTCAGAGACCCAATGACCCAGCTCTGGGAGAGCCCAGTTAAGACCACAAATGGCCCTGTTGTTGTCTTGTTGGTCTGCTCAGGGTCAGTCATGTATGGGGGATTTGGGCAGCTGACATTTTGTATGCAGTTCTGCCTTATGGTGTAGCCCTGTGTAAGGCAGATTTCATTAGATGTCTCTTTTCCAGGATGATAATTTATTTCTTTCAATGATGTGGATGGAGTCCAAGGCCTCATGTATGCTACCACCAGGTCACATACCCAGTCCTCTGAAGAGTTTATTTATTTTTGGTACATTTCTTTTTAAATTTTATTTATTTATTTTTTTATTTTTATTTTATGTGTATGAGTGTTATGCCTGCAAGTGTGTAAGTGCACCTGTGTCATGCAGTGCCCACAGAGGACAGAGATAGCATCAGATCCCCCTGGAACTGGAGTTAGCTGCCATGTGGGTGCTGGGATTCAAACCCGGGTCTTCTGCAAGAACAGCCAGTGTTCTCAATTGCTGAGCCATCCCTCCAGCTCCACATTTCATTTTTTTAAAAAATGTGTGTGTGTGTGTGTGTGTGTGTGTGTGTGTGTGTGTGTGTTTCCTACAGAGGCCAGAAGAGGGTATCAGAGTCCAGGAGCTGGAATTACAGGCAGCTGTGAGCCACCTGATACAGGTTCTGGGAACTGAACCTCTGCAAGAAGAGCAAGTGCTGGGGCTGGAGAGATGGTTCAGCGATTAAGAGCACTGACTGCTCTTGCAGAGGACCCAGGTTCAATTCCCAGCACCCACATGGCAGCTATGAACTGTCCTTAACTTCAGTTCCGGGGGAATCCAAAGCCCTCTTCTGACCTCTGCAGCATTGCACAACACGGGTACACTCACATACATGTAGGCAATACACTCAAACACATAAAATAAAAATAATAAATAAAATGTTTTTAAAAAAGAGCAAATGCTGTCAAATGCTGAGCATCGTTCCAGCCCCCAGATGATTTCTTGAAAGCAAGTTTTGCAGAACTTGTGAAATGCAAGGGTTATTTGTGGCCTCTTTGACTGACTCATCCATCCATCCATTCATCCTCTCATTTACTTGTTTACTTGGGTACTGTTCTTGATACAAAGAACTAGATAACTGAACTAGATAGATTGGTCTATGCTTTTAAGGTGCTGCAATCTCTAATATTCCAATATGGTAGCCACTGGCCACATATGGTTATTTAAACTTAAATTATATGATTTACATATGAAATTCTTCATCTAGTATATTATTCTAGTTGCATTTTTGTTTTTGTGATAAAACTCTCTGGCTAAAAGCAGCAGAGGGGAGGAAAGGGTTTATTTCACTGTGTAATTCTAGATCCCAGTCTATCACTGAGGGAAATAAAGGCAGGAACTTGAAGTCAGGCCAGCTCACTATTCCACACAGCGTTACCTCTGCCCAAGGAACTCACTCCTCAGCCAAAGAAGTACAGCAGGGGCCATGGAGGATGCTGCTTGCTGGCTCATGAGCTTTTACTCAGCTATCTTTTTCAAACAGTTCAGCCCATCTCCCTAGGGATGGTACCACCCATAGTGGACTGGGCCCTCCTACATCAATTAACAGTCAAGACAAACCCCTACAGAATTTCCCATGGGTCAATCTGATGTGTGCAGTT